GAAGTGTAGTCCATTGTAAGAATTCCGTATGATATTGATTACCTTCTCAAGTACACCTTCATATCAAAGAAGCCTTCATAATGTCACTCTATCCACTGTCAAATACTTTCTTATAGTCACTAAAATTGATGTATAGTAGTGAATACCATTTAATTGAACGTTCCACAATGATCCGTAATATCGCAATTTGGTCAGTACAAGATCGGTCCTTTCAGAATCTAGCCTGTTGATTTCGAAGTTGGGCGTCTACTGAAATATTTCATTCGGTTAAACAACATTGTGTTGAAAACTTTTCCTGGTACTGAGAGTAGAGTGATGCCTCTGTAGTTCTCACACTTGCTAATCTGAAAAAAACCGCATAATACTAGAAATAATTAAAATTTGATCAATACTGTTTAAGGTTAGGCGTTCGCTCATGAAACCATAGGTTCTTGATCTGATTCCTTCTTACGACGTCATTGATGTGTACTGCTAAAAATTCCCATACTATGAACAAATGTCCGTCAAGTTCTTCCAGGATTTCAACAGTGGTCTAACTTAGATCCCTTCATGATCTCAATAAAATATTCGTTTTATTCTGAAGCATTATTCTAAGATTAGTCAGTGTACACAGATTTAATTATAAAGAAAGTAAGGAGAATATACTTGTTTCATTTTGTTTATAATTTGAATTTATCATTAAATTACAACTTCATCATTAGATTTAATTGATCTTGGAAATTTACCATGATGTCTACTACTGAAATATGTGTTCCTCCGTAAAAATTGTCATTCTCTTCAAACTGTTATATCAGTGACTGAGTTCATATAAGCTTTGGAAGGCATTTTAAAGCTATGCTATTTAGCAACTTAAGTACTCAGCTTTCAATCGATAAATTGAGGTGGTTATAGTTTTTTCTTGCACTCTAGGCAATGGTAAAATATAAGGTCTCATTTACACAAAACATACATTTCTACAAATTGAATGTCTATAAAACTGTATTTGATAAACGAGTTATAACCACCACAATAACTTTCTTTTAATCTGTGTGTGTTCATATTTTAACAATCGATTTGTTTGTATTCACAATAATATTGTATTTGATGTGAATTTTTTGTATAATATTTCTTTTACTATTCATGTGTAATAAGTAGTATGTATTCAAGACATATATATATATATATATATATATATATATATATATATATGTTGTGGTTGTTTGAAATCGTAAAAGAATCTTCGAAGGTATCTATCTCTACTTTAAATTAAGAGCTATTAATTAATATACAATAAAAAAAGTGCTACACTATTCATCCTACCTACTCTTGTATGTTGAAGGTTTTGTTTAATCTAGCATATGTGATTGCCTCGCAATGAATGACCTGATACAACCAAGAGTGGGAAAATATTTCTCACTCTTTCGAAATGCTATCGTATGGTTTTATATTTATAGTTTGTGCCAGCGTTGTACTACTTTCTATCTTCTCACAATGAACATGTTGTTTATGAAAGTGTGAGAATGAAAAGCGAACGTTTGATGCCTATATTGGGTTGATGGATACACAGAATCCACCCAGAGACATTGCAAAAACCGTGATTCTGAACTAAGGATGTAAATAATCTCTAGAATCCTGTGAAAACGAATAATATGTGGATCTATTTCGGTTATGAGATACTCTCTGACGACATCTGATGTTAATCCACTGCTCTTTCGATCGAAGACCCAGGGGAATGACCTAAAAATACCAGTTTGGGCTCGTAGAAAGTAGTATCCTAGCTGATATAAAAATATTATTGTATAATTCATATCATTTTTATGCCTTGTTATATTAGGTTTTATGTAATTGAAATAAACAAATGTATGCATTATTCCCTCTGTGTTTTTCACATATCTCTCTCTAAGTGTTAACGCATTCAAGTGCAAACTGACACTTGATCGTATATGAAATGGTAATTAACACGCATAAATCTTTTCTCGGTGTAAATTTTTTTTTCTTGACTGTTTTTCTCCTATACCACCACTACCATACTGACTAGCAGCAATAGGATCATGGGAATTTTGATTAGGAGATCAGGTAACATTTTCATTCTTCATGTAATAACTTTGAATTTATTGATTTTTACGTTTTTTTGTGTTCCATTTTAAACTAAACAGAATCAGGCATGATATATCCATCTATCTACCTATTTTTCTTCCTTTCCATCTATCTAACTATCTATCACATTTCTGTTATTTGAAAACAACTCTTACTTATATATGAGATATCTACAAATAATTAGATTGGATGGAACTTTTAAAATTATACTACTACAATGAATTATTCATGTATATTTTTCCATTGTACATTCAACTTAAATGATATGTATTGTTATATTTGTCCTAATTGTAAGCTTTCATTCAACCCTTTTATAAAATACTACTGTTTATGCATTATACCTGAATGACTGCCTGGTTGGGGTCCGCGAGATGATAATAATCGATGGCTAGAGACCTTGAATGACATGGCTCAAAATCGTTCGCATTGGCGCCGGTGGATTTATGCTTTGTGTTCTCTCGAATCCTAATCTTCTGGGTTCTTCAACAACTCTAGTTTTGACTTTCTAAACTTTTCTCATTAAATCATACTTTTTGAATAATATCTTCTAATCCTAACCTCTCCGATTACTTCTGATACCTTTACTACCTCTTCTACTATTGGATTTGAATGGACAGTTACATCTCTGTGCTGATGTGGTATGGCGACATGAACTGATGTACTTACGTACGAAGTTCTACGTTGCATCTAACTGACTGACTGACTGATTCAGTTTTGTGTCATTTATAGTCAAGTCATAATTTCTCATCTATGTGAGTGTATAATTCATGCATTTAATCTTGTAGACTTTTTCACTGCATAGATAATAATCAAATGCTCATTTGTTAACTATAATCGACTGACTGACTGATTGACTGAATAATAATCATAATAATAATAATCATCGAAAGTATGTCTGTCAGCTGACTATCCTACTGTTATGCTGGGTTAGTGAAAATTAAAGGGAACTAATAGATGTTAGACTATACAGTTGTTGTTGTTGTTGGTTGTCATTCATTTTATTAGTGTAAGCTCACTTGTTATTAATGCATTCTATCATTAAGCGATACTCATTAGTGGTGGGGGTATATAAAAGTTTGAGATTTTTTTAATAAACTGTTATAGAGAATGTATTATTTGCTGTCACTCAATAGCTAATAAGGCATATGAAACAATAGTTTAATAGATTATGAACCAACTAAATCTCAAACAATATAATGACTGGATTGAATCCAGTTATAACACTTATTTAAGTTTAGTCACACTGGTAAAGTAAGTGTTATTTAGTCTAAGAAATTAAAATCAATATAGCATAAAGCAGAGTACATATAGTAGTTGTGTAGTGTATGCCACTCGCAACTTGGCTTATACAGTGAAGTGTCGCCCAAAAGTTACTACTGAAGAGAAGGAGTAACGCATCTGAATCTTTCAAAAACTAAAAGACCGCCAATAATCCGTTTGTTTTACAAATTAAAGTCTAAAGATAAAGTGTACACAATTTGCTAATAAACTATGTCTTCACTAAATTCATCATTTATTCCATCTTTTCTTAACATCTTCATTTATTACAGTTGTATTTAGTAAGTAGGTCACATTTGATATTAAAGCAAGCATAAAATCAATAACTAAGATTCTTTCAGTTTCATTCTGTTACTATTCAGAATTGTGTTTGTCACAATTGTGTATGTCACATCTCATAAATCAATCATGATATGAGTCAATGTGTTAGGTTAATTAACTCTTAAGAAATCTTATTGTTTTTTTTTCTTAAATTCTGATCTTCATTAGACGTTGATAATATTTAAAAAAAATAGAAAGCTATTTAAAAGTCTAAATTATCGATTTTCCGTTCCGACAAGGTTTGATTCTGATGTCTGAATTTCAACAAACTAATCTTCGCTTCTATCGTTGTGACGTAACAACATCCTTCCATTAAGAATCTGTGGTAAGACTGTAATTTTTGAATGACCTTTGGAGCAACACCAAAGTGATCCTGAGAAAGCTTGCTCACTTACTAGACTCTAATAAAGAGGATGATAGATTATTGTGAGAAACAAGAACTGCGATTCTGACTTAAAAGTGAATGTACTAACGAAAGGGTTTTCATCACGAACCCAATGTCAGCTATATTGATAAAATGCTATTTAATTCTGTGCATAATAAATGCATTTCGTGCCAAAACCCAAGTCTTGTCATCTTGAATATCTGATTGGTCCGTCTAATAAATTATAGTCTTGTCAAATCTGATTTTCTGTCAAACTGAGTTGCACTACTTCAAGATGTCCTTCCAAAGCATCATCTTTTTCTTGTGTGAACAGCTATTTTTGTCGAAATGTCCTATGTGCTAGCTGCCGTTATTGATTTGCACAATCGAATTGTTTTTATTGGATTAGCTCAATTGTTCCTTAATTCCAAAGTATCATAAACCTATACCTAATTCCAATTAGCAATACTGAGAGATAAATATTACTGGATTTCACGTGTACTAAATCTCTCACACGTACATAATGATTTGTGTAAATAAATTGTGTTTTACAAATGTGGTTTCGTGCGTCATTTATCCAGTAAAAACTAGATTGTACCTACTCTCTATATTCATACTCGTTAAAGTGTTTCATTTTTCCATAGATCAGATTAAGGACTGGTCCAAGTTATAAACCACCTCCATAAACCAGGAAGCATTGGATAGTTATTTCTTCCCTACCATGAGACTGCTTTGCAATGCAAATACACAATAGGTCCTAGGTTTAACCTGCTATCACGTTCCTGTGTTGACGCATACTGTTAAGGAGCCTCATAGTAGCATAAAACAGCTTTCCAGTGTTTACTGGTCTTCGTTGATGATGGTCTAACTAGAATCAGTTGATGAAAATGTTAACGATTTTCTATAAAATTCCCATTTACACTTAATCAAATTGATTATTAATCTTTGATATTGTTTGTAGTTACATCAGTGCCCTTGCCGATCGTGTGACTGTCATATTCAGCACTGTCTTCAAACATGCCGATGATTTAATTATTGCCAAAGTATTTTTACAGGTAAATATCAATGTTTTTTTATGATTATTATCATTATGTCTGATTCTATGTATGTCGTATAAAATAATTCAATCGATTGATTGACGTTGCATCACATCTGATCATGCACAAACATGAGATCAGATGATCATCATTTTTAATTTGTGTACTGATTTTTCTGTCTCTCTCTCTCACACACACCTTTTAATATGACAATATATCTTTTTCCAGAAAAAATATGAGCTACTAACAGTTACTTATCATGATCATGGATACATTTTTTTTCGTCAAATACATTGTTCCATATTTATACAAATGTGCTAAGCGATTCGGAAACCGGATGCGATCATACAAACACAATCCAGAATAGTATAAGTATCCATTATTCCCTTCAATAAAACTCTATTAACTAAGTACCTGACTACTGACAAGATAATATCTAAGTATTCATAGAGAATGTAAATCTGTGCTTGAAAATCAAGCATTATAGCTGTGGGTTTTCCAGAGGTTGGATTTAAGTTTACATGTAGTGAGTCATTCAATGTCTAGCTCACGTGACTTGTCCCACTTGTCTTTTGACCTTGTCACTCATTCGTCGCTTTCATTCATGTATGTACATGCCTATTTCGCTTACTACATGTCTGTCCTATTTTCGTCTGACTATAAATTCTTAGTCATGCTTTATCTCTCGGAGTTGGCTCACTAAACCTTCTCCCCTTCGCTTCGTCCATTTGCTCGCTTGCTTGCTCGCTTTCCGGCGCTCGCATGACTAGTTTATCTTTTAGTGTTTGTAGTCTGCGGATATAATTGTGGTGCGCCAAAATAAACGTATTCAACACTTCGAGTTCATCTTCTGATTTGTAAACCATCAGACGCTATTTAGTAACGATTGTCTGGACGAGATAATTACCAAGCCTAAGAACACGTTGGATACCAACCGTCACCAAACTAATGATAATAAGCACACCACATACACACCAATTGTTTCAAAATTCCAAATTGGTACGTTTGATTGATTCTAGCTGAAGGTTTGGTAAAGATTCTTGTATACTTTATTGTGTATGTGAGCAGTTAACATTTTGTTGGGGACGTTAGATCCCCCACTTGGATAACCCCGACCGAAGCTGCTACCTTGACGTGGTGGTCGGGCTTGCCTATCGTGATGACCCAACCGAGCTATACTGGCTGGAACATATGTTCCTGCAGGTCCTACCATGCCAGGCTGGTCGATTGGAGAACGATGTGACTAAAAGCAGCTACCCAAGGTCTGAGGGCGAAGTCGTACTGCTGACTGCAGAGGGGTGTGACAGCAGTAAGGTGTTTCCCTCGGACAACCAGCATCTGCAGCGATGCTGCCTTCTCACAAGGAAGGAAGGGTTAGAAAAGGTCGGCCCTAAAAATGTCACACCTCCCCTAACTCACGGATTTCCGTCTCCCTGGGTAAGGGTGCCCACTGGGCCTTTAAGAACGGAGCTAATCCTCTAAATACCTCTCATAAAAAGGCCGTGCGTGACCGGCCTGAAGCAGTTGTCCCTTGGACTCTGCGGTCACGCACCAACACTAATCCATCTTCCTTTTCAGGTCCCTCAAGAAACAACCTTCCACGGTGTGGGCAGCCGGGAAGTGACAACCGCCCTCATACCCGTACCAGCATGCGAGGCCAAATTGTTCAAAATCAAATCCTTCCTACACCCCCTAATGTCTCTCTTATCTCTACGACTAACTGTACTCACACTCCCTTTTCTCACTGCACCGCTAATGCAGACGAAGCGAGATCACGAAACGTCGTTCCTGGTCTCTTGAAACCCCGTTCTAGACTACATATTGGAGCTTTTAATGTACGGACATTGTGTCAAATAGGGCAACAGGCATCATTAGCTAGGACTTTAGAATCTCGTGCCATCGATGTATGCTGCGTCTCGGAAACGCGCATACAGGATCCTAGTAAAATTATTAACCTGATTTCACCTTGTCAAAATAAAGAAGCAGCTCGATTTACTCTTCGTGTATCCGGTAGCCCTGATGCTGCTTCCAGGGGTCTTGCTGGCGTAGGCATAGCGTTGAGTCCTAGGGCAGAATTATCTCTCCTTGACTGGATCCCAGTAGATAGTCGTTTGTGCGCTGTCCGACTAAACGGGACAGTAAGGACTCGTAAGGATAGGGACACTCGCCGTTGCCTCTTCGTCATATCTGCCTATGCCCCCACTGACTGCAGTGCAGACGAGGTTAAAGATGAGTTTTACAGAAAGCTTTCGGACCTCCTCCAAAAAGTTAAGCGCTCTGATATAGTTATAATGGCTGGTGACTTTAATGCTCAAGTAGGTAGACTAGGTGAAAAGGAAAGACATCTTGGTGGATGTTATGGTGTAGCGACTGAGAGAACAGACAATGGCGACCGTCTGTTGCAACTATGCTCAGATAACCGCCTATTCTTAGCGAACACCAACTTTAGGCATAAGGAAAAGCATCTGTTGACCTGGCGACCTCCAAAGTCATCTCAACGTTGGACTCAACTAGATCACATCGCCATCAGCCACCGATGGAGGGGTTCGATAGAAGACTGTCGCTCGTTCTGGAGCACATGTTTGGATTCAGATCATGCTCTAGTGCGAGCTCGTATCTGTTTAAGGCTTACTGGACGTAGGAAAGACACCGTAAGGAAGCCTCTTAGGGTTTTACTTAATGATAATCAAACCAAGAAAATATTTCAGGAGCAACTAGAAAGAGAGTTAAGCAACCATGCAAGCGATTCCTATCCAGAAACAGGTTGGTATGATATCAAAAAAGCTGTGGAAACAGCAGTGATATCTGCTAGTAAGGTAAACCATGAGGCTAGGATGAAGCCGTGGATTTCAGTCGCATCCACCGAACTGATGGATGCTCGAAAACGCATCCCACCTGACTCTGAGCATGATGAAGAGCGTAGTCAGCTTAGGCGCAGACTTATAAAAAGTCTGCGTAACGACCGCGAACAGTGGTGGGTGGCAAAAGCAAAAGCGATAGAAAAGGCAGCGGCGATCGGCAACACTAGACAACTTTTCCGACTTATCAAGGAAACTGGTATTAAGAACCCGAATGTGAGTGAGACTATCTCGGAAAAGGATGGTCTTATTATCCATTCTCAATCCAGGAGACTGGATCGATGGGCAGAACACTTTAGGGATCAGTTCAACTGGCCACGAGCCACTCTTCGGTTACCCACGATCTCCAGTCATCCTGAATGGCAAATCGACGTAAGTCCCCCTAGTCTTAATGACGTTGAGAAAGCGTTAGGAAATCTGAAACGAGGACGAGCTGCAGGTCCTGATAGACTGATCCCTGAGATATTTAAGGATGGTGGTCCAGTTTTAGCAGCTAGGTTGACTGAGATCTTAGGTAGAATCTGGGAACTGGACGTAATCCCATCCGACTGGTCTGAATCACTGATTGTCCCAATCTATAAGAAAGGACAAAAGTCTTCTTGTGACAATCACAGGGGAATAAGTCTAACTAATATAGTATCTAAAATACTGGCCTCAATAATACTTCGACGCTTAACGAAAGCTCGTGAAGAGCAGACTCGAGAAAACCAGGCTGGTTTTCGACCTGGACGTGGTTGTATAGACCACATTTTCACGCTCAGACAGGTCCTGGAACATAGACACACATTTAGGCGTCCTACAGTAGTTGTTTTCCTAGACATTAAGGCGGCATTTGACTCTGTGGATCGTGAGGTTCTGTGGGAGTGTCTGTCATTGAAAGGTGTACCACAGAAGTACATTAAACTCATACAAGCTCTTTACTCGAACACCACTGGTCGAGTGAGAGCTTATGGCGAACTGTCACCGGAATTCTCTACATCAAGTGGTGTCCGTCAGGGATGTCCACTTTCTCCATTCTTGTTTAATTTTATCATAGACATGCTCCTAGACATAACATTATCCTCGTCTGGATTTTCAGGAGTAGACCTTCTACCAGGTGGCTCGCTTATTGACTTAGAATATGCCGATGACATTGTCCTACTTGGTGAAGACGCTGACAAAATGCAGAGTCTTCTGACTACCCTAAGCAACAATGCAAGCATGTTCGGGATGCGGTTTTCCCCCTCGAAATGCAAAATGTTGCTTCAAGACTGGGTTGCATCGGCACCTGAACTAGTGATAGGGAGTGAAGTAGTCGAACGTGTAGACCGCTTCACTTATCTGGGGAGTCTCATCAGTGCCGATGGCCTGGTGACTGACGAAATCTCAGCACGGATACAGAAGGCTCGATTGGCTTTTGCCAACCTGCGTCACTTATGGCGTAGGCGAGATATCCGTTTGCTGACTAAAGGACGAGTGTACTGCGCAGTAGTTCGCTCCGTCTTACTTTATGGCTGTGAAACATGGCCAGTGAGAGTAGAAGATATTCGTAGGTTAATGGTTTTCGATCATAGGTGTCTTCGAAGCATTGCTCGTATATCGTGGGACACCCGAGTGAGCAACGCTGTTATTAGGAATCGGTTGCTAGGTAAGAATGGCAGATCAATCGATGAAGTATTGAAACTTCACCAGTTGAGGTGGTTGGGACATGTGTTGCGTATGCCCAACCACCGGCTGCCTCGTCGAGCCTTGTTTTGTAGTGTAGGAATAGGTTGGAAGAAAGTTAGGGGCGGCCAAACGAAAACATGGCAGAAATCCATGAAGTCATTGACTAGTGGACTGAGCCATGTTGGTAATTGTCGACTACCTGGTTGGGGTCCGCAAGATGATAATAATCGATGGTTAGAGACCTTGAATGACATGGCTCAAAATCGTTCGCAATGGCGCCGGTGCATTTATTCTCTGTGTTCTCTCAAATCCTAATCTTCTGGACTCATCAACCCCTCTAGTTTCGACTCTCTAAACTTATCTCACTGAATCATACTTCTTGAATAGTATCTTCTAATCCTAACCTCTCCGATTATTTCTAATTCCCTTACTACCTCTTCTACTATTGGATTTGAATTGACGATTACTTCTCTGTGCTGATGTGGTATGGCAACATGAACTGATGTACTTATG